CTAACACCAGTTCAAGTCCAGGATACCCCAAAAAACCTGTAAAACATTTGCCAGCTGGGAACCTGAAAGACAAATTTCCTCCCTCACCCCCGGGGCCCAGGCATATGAAAGCACATCATACTCTTGTCATGCCGGGACCCAGTGTTTCTGCAACACATTAAAGGTTGTAACCCAACATTTCAGAGTCCATGATGAAGATCAAAGCTGCGACCAGAACTCTTTAAAGCAGCAATGGGTGAACACATTAGAAACACTAGAAGCAGGGAACAAGAGCGGGTCAAGAGAAGGAGAAAGAGAAGAAAGGAGAGGGGGAGGCAGGAGTCTGTAAGAGGCAGGGTCTTTCTTGGGATCCCCGACATGGCTAACAAACAAGCAGAGTCTTGATGAGTCCAGAAACGAGCAAAAAAACAACTGGACAATGGGGTGGTTTGTGTCCGCAGCAGTAAAGTGGTCTGGGAAACTCTCAGGCCTGGTTGGGAGGTCTTCTCAAGAGAGATGGAGGGAGAGGAAACAGAAGAGAGATGCTCATTGCACTTCCCTCCTCAGCAGAGAGAAATAATATTCAACAATGTCCTTTTCACCCTGAGTTCAGGGAAAGAGAAGAGGAGGGGCAGAATGACAGGAACAAGGAAGGGAAGCAGACAGGCAGAAAGTGGAGGGAAATAAATGAAGAAACACAACAAAAAGAGACACACAGACAGAGCGCACTACACAGTATGACATCTGCTTTCTAATTACTAGTCATCTAATTATCATTATAATGAGGAAGTGACAGCCTTCCCAGAAACCTGAACGGGAATTCTGATTGGCTCTTTAAATCCAATAAGAGTAATAACAAGGACAAATGGGAGAGGGTGTTTGACTAATCAAATTGGGTCAAGGCTGCGTTCGGAACAAGAGATAGCTGTTATTTCGGAGCAAATGTGGAATAATGTCACATGGCCAATAATGAGGTATTCGAAAACAGTCATCAACAGAAACATGGGCTGATGGGAGACCAGGGGGTCACATCAGAAACACACGGGGGGGGGGGGGTAGATTATGGATATGAGGGGGCTGGGTTATATCACGCACATTTAAACCAATTGATTATTTTCTTTAATTGACTAACACAATGACAGAAATAACAATGATGAAGATTCAGGCCCCGGACGATGTTCCTGCTGACCTGCTGACCAAGGACCCATAAGAGACATATTTGAGGATGTAGAAGGGGGGGGGGTCTCGCCAAGTGTGCTGGATTTGTTTTTCTTTTTGAATGTTCATGAAGTTTAGGGGAAAAGCAAAACTTTAAAAAGCTCAATGTTTTACCTTTTAACTGCTTTTTTCTTCTGCTTCAGATACTGAGAAATGAAAGTCTTTGTAAACAATGATTAGGGAAAGCGTTTTTAGTCAGCACCAGAGAGAGAAAGAGAGGGAGAGAGAGAGAGAACGAGAGAGAGATAGGAAATTGGTCCGTAATGGTGCACACATGGTAGGGGCACAACTTACTCATGTAACACACACATATAGGCTGATAGCCATCTACCGACCCGAGGATGACTTAAACTCACATACACAGCCATAGCCACCCGCAGTAATAGCGAATATTAAGAGAGAAGTACGTTCATTCTTAAACATTGACCCAGAATTAGAGTGTGGTTAGATATAACTACAACCCTGGTTTGATGTTGTCCGAATGTCATAAACCACTTTCTGCACTCTAATAAAAAATGAAAAGTGCACAGTTTCATCTTTTACCTGTTCTTAAAGCACATGAAGGTAAATTCCAATCTTGGAAACGCACCCTCATAAATGTCTTTGGATGTTTAAATGTTGGATCACATCCTCTGAACACGTTGCAGAACCCCTGGGTCCTGACATGACAAGACTATGAAACGCTTTCTTATATCTGGGAGCCCAAGGGTGAGGCAGGAAATCTTTCTTTCAGGTTGCAAATGTTTAACAGGTTTTTTGGGGGTATCCTGAGGTTAGAAATGGTTGTCACATGGGTAGAGGTACAGTGACCCTTTCTCACCCTCAGCTGGGTTCTTTGGGGGGAGGCTGGAATGGGGGTGGAGAGGTAATTTCAAGAAAATGGCAGTGATGGATTTGAAGTGAAAGGACATGTGGTGTCACGTCTACCCCTCTTTCCTTTTTCTATGAAAATCCACACGTCTCAGCTTGTAAGAAAAAGTACTTATCGAGAGTAAGAAAGTGAATCAGGTCTGATCAGGTACAGACCATACAATGCAGTGTTGAATGTTTAAATGGGTTTACAAGTTGGTGATAGGTTAAAATCACCAGGGTAAAAAGGTTAAACAGATAGTAAGTTTTCAAGTTTATCATAAGTTAACATTAGGTAAGATTACTTTAGATTCACATGTAAGAGTAGTGGCTGTAAGTTAACTGCTAAAAGTCTGTGACATTTAAAGATCCTGGAAAAGTTAGCAAGAGCAGGCTACACTTTCAGGAAATGCTACCAATAAATCCCACCCCCTCCCATTGGCCCTCTTGTCAAAGCCACACCCCCAAAAACCTGAACATGCACTGCCTGATGACTGCTAGAAGTGGACTTTTCTGTGACTCGCTGGCTCTCTCCAGCTCTCCAGCGAGAGCCCGGGCACGCTGTGAGCAGGGAGGCAGGTCGGTGAGTGACAGATAGGTACGCCAGCCAATCATATCATTTGGTCCGAATGAAATGAATGGTCGTGTTTATTACAGTCCAGCCAGGATCACATTCAACCATGGCTATCAGGGTGTGAATAAATAAGATGTTTGAATAACAACATACCAACCCTACCCACAATAAATAATGCTTAATTAATTTAAAGCCGGTGTAACTTTTCTTATAAATGTGATTTCTAAAACATGATCACACTGACTGATAATGTGAAAGAGTAACAGAATATTTAATAAATCCCCAACCGACCCTTCTTTGGTTCATGAAGGGACATTTGCTGACAGTATTTTAGGTCAAGTGTTTCCGCTTTAGGCTGCTGTTGGGTCATGTTTTAATTTTAGACCCTCTACATCACGTCACACACGCATGCACACACCCAGGTTTGCACTCATTGACATACCTAGTGCTCCATTTAACTGACTTTGAGTCAAACATACAGTACCCGAAAACACAGCCCTACAGGTATTTTTGGACCCACTTGGAAATTATATCAACATAAATTCACAAATACAAACATGGACACAAGCACAGTGCCTCCAACCCACACCCACACACACACATAGGTATACTTTAAATACACACAGCCCAAGAGCTACTATATGTTTAAGGTCAACAGCCTGGATGCGGTTTCCAAACATGATCTTTTTCTCTGACTCTCAGGCGCTGAAATATCTCTTGAGTGAAGTGACAGCAGGTGAAAGAGTGTAGACAGAGATGCACAGGCAGGGAGGAAGCTAAAAAAAGACTGCCGAAGAAGAGATATGAGTCTGCTTTACACATAAAATCACTGAAAAGCTAAAACATTTCTGGGATATTCTATGAATTTAGTGGCAGCTCTTTGGTTTTCAGATTGGTGATTGACTCACCTGAAATATGACAGGCTGTTAGATACCAAAGTGCATCCAGGTCTACAAAATAATTCAGCTGATTGAAAGCAACAGCATCATTTTTTGTTTTCATCTATATCTTCAGTGCATGTGTATGGATGTCAAATGTAAAAAAGATATATTGTTGGTGACATGACTCTTTGGAATCACACTTCATTCATGTAGAAACATGTGTCAGAGCTGTTACAGGTCCTAAGTGGGCAGATTGTCAGAGTGACTTTTAGAGAAAAATGACGAGGGGGCACTTTTCAAACACGAGGCCTGCATGTAAAATTGGTACAGCATTTATGGACTACAGTGCATGTCTGAAAGTGGAAACAGAGACAGGGTGTACTGTATGTGTGTGTATGTGTGTGTGTATGCGAGTGTGTGTCAAATTTCCCAAGGCTTTTCAGATACCACAGCCAGACCTCAAAACTATCATCACTGTTCTCGCTCCCATCTGCCAAAGTCATCACCCACACACAGGAATACTCTCTCTCTCTCTCTCCCTCCCTCCCTCCCTCCCTTTCTCTCTCTCTCTCTATCTCACACACACACACACACATACATACATACACAGAGTGAGCGAGAGAGAGAGAGAAACAGAGAGACGAAAGAGGTGTGAAATAGCCATCTCTCACCATTTTAACAGGGGTGGGAACCTGGCTATAAACTTTCCAACCTTCAAATCCTCTGTCTGTCATTCCACTTATTACTGACTTCCTCTCTCGCTCTCTCCCTCTTTCACACTCACACAAACAAACATTTGTTTGTTGTTGACTTGTTAGGCAGCCGAGGTGTTGGCAGTTAGAGGCAAAACAACACGATGTGAGAAGAGGCTCGTAACTTTTACCTTAACTTGAACAAGTTTCATTTTTAGATTTAAAAATAATTTTACACTGATAATGGACATGTTGAAGTGTAAAAGTTTTTTGAAAAATGACAAGTGACAAAAGTGAAAAGAGAGGAGAGTACAAGAAACATTTTAATACAGACTCAAATATAAAATCAAGATAATGAATTAGAGTTTCAGGTTAAGTGGCAATTTTTCTGATAAAACATTAGATGACACTTAGTTGTAAAAATGGAAACTAGGCAAAATGCAAAATTTCTGGGAGAGTGAGATGGTTGAAATTGTTATTTTGTCGGAAATCAAGAAAAAACATTTCCACTGAATCAAAAAAATAAAACACTCTAAAGAAAGTTGAAACATTTTCTCAAATCATTATAAAACTGTGGTGGACCGCCACTAATTAATGGGAAACACTGGTGGGAAAACAGATCCAGGAGTCAGGGCTCAGTTTTCAACCCCTGTATGAGTGTGTATTCCCAAGGGTGGGTAAGGTGAGTTCCTGGCTGAGACGGAGGCCTCAAGAGACATGAAGAAAAGGAACCAGACTATTTAATTAGAGGAGAGGAGAGAAGAGAAGAGGAGAGGAGAGAAGAGGAGAGGAGAGAAGAAGCAGTACCTTGGTAAGGAGGCATATTGACGCTCCACCTCTTCATAACGTGGTGCCAACCGAGGATCTGCCCCTCTGCCTGGCATCTGGTGAAGAGAAACAACTGGTTAGTATATGTATTTAATTACATCGGCCAAGGTTATGTTTTCAGTCCTGTCCATTTGTTGGCTGGTTGGTTTGTTTGTTTGTCAGCAGGATTACACAAAATCTACTGAACAGATTTCTACCAAACTTAGTGGAGGGATGGGACTTGGGCCAAGAATCCATACAATTTTGGCATGGATCCAGACAAAGCGGCTAATCCATAAATGTTTTAACACTTTCTAAACCATTGCATGATCAGGCTTTTAGTTTAACAATTTCACCATGAAAGCAGAAAGCAAGGATGTTGTGACGGTCTGATTTATGACAGTATCCAATTAGGTGCAGATCCAAATAAAAATCTGGATCTGGTGGGTTTAAATGTGGTTTCATTAGGGAACTGTTGGGCCTTAGCGAAGGTATGAGCTCATTCTGGTTTTAAAAATGATATAAATCACCTGCGGCAAGTTCAATGAAACTGTTGGTAGTTAGAGTGTGTTTGTGATACAGGGGTAATTTAGGATTGACTAAGGCAAGTTAGGGATTTAGAGTCAGAGTTTCAGTCTTCTGAGGTTTTTTTTTGGGGGGGTGGAGGGGGGTTACTTCATTAC